TACATTGATATCATTTCGACATACTTTTATTTATCATATTGTTGATTATTTGAATTATAATCATACAGATACCGGTTACCACTGCTTGAGATTGTTGACGTTAAAAAAAGGTTTTTTTGCTACTTGGTCTAACAGAGTCACTCATTTAGGGAACACAACAACGAGCAGGTACATAATAACCATATTATTTAATGCAATATTTTAGTACAAAAGTGCATGCGAAAAATCTAGTTGGATATATATTTAAAATGTTTGGTATGTATTTTAATAGATTTTTCTGAAAATATATTTAACATTTTCGGACTTTTTGCTAAATCCGGTTTTGTAATTTTTTATTTTTAAAAATTTTGATAGTGTAGGAAAAAAAAAGTTAATATCATCAAATTTCTCGAAAGATTTGATATATTTTATAATTCTTTGACATATTGAAAAAATTGGTAGATTTTTGTCTTCAGAAAACTATGATTTTACACCGTTCTTTTAAAAATCTGGTATAAAATAATAAATTTCGTCGAAAAATATATGATGCACACATGTTTTTTCTAAAAAATGTTTTTTTTTTCAAATATCTCATAAAATTTCTAAATGAATTTAATTGAAATACATTGACAGTGTAGAAGAATTTTATACTGTCAGTTAATCATAGTCGTTGGATATTCGAAAAAATTTGACTTTTATTTTAACCACTTATAAAAATAATGCAAACGAATGATAGTGTGAAAAATTTTATATCGACAAATATAATAATTGATCTCTTCCCAAATATCCCATAAACAAGAATTTAAAAATATATATAAAATTCATGAAGGATATTTATATTAAAAAAACACTACTTCTAAGGGAGTGGCATAAAAAATTCTCTGTTCCATGCAGATCAAAAGGTCCAACAAGATCAGCCTAATACAAGAAAACTCAATCAAATACTCTTGTATCGAACAAATGAACAATTGGGGTCTTACTAGGAGAATGCGAGAATTTTACCACCCCCTCCCAAACTTTCAATATTCACAAAAACTATCCTTGCTAATATTTATTTATCAATTTTACTATTCTTCTAAAAATATTCACTTTTTTTAATCTATAAACGAAATTTCTAGTTGTTATTTTGAAATTTTTGGTACGTCAGTTTTTGTATTTTTTAAAACTCACATATATACTAGAAATTTGGAAAAATCCGGTACAAAATACCAAAAATTTTAGGAAATCTAATATCCAATAATCGGAAATTGTCAAATTTTCATGTAATTTACACAAACAATTCGTTTCAATCCGCAAATTGTCAAAATTTTTGGTAAGTTACAAAAACTTCTAGAAATTTTGTCTAATTTCCAGTAACATAACAAAAATTAGAAAAAAATATTTTATCTGTGCGGTCCAGAGTCGGCATGGTCTTCTACGGATTTGTGTATGAATTGTACGCAGTTCTTAAGCACAAACAATGTATATTTTCTATGTAACAAGTTAAAATTTAATATTTTCCACTCTTATATGATATTAATATTATAGTTTTTATGTGATGTAAATGACAGATATTTGAGACCCGATCTGAAGTATTAGCTTGGATACAGAATATTGGCAAGCAACATGGTATTATAGTTGTGATTGTTCGTTCTGATACTACAAATGCCAGTGAGGTAGAAAAAATAAATAAATTATGGGTTGTGAGAGAGGAGGAAATTATTAAAGAAAAAATATATTTGAAAGCAGTAAATCTTCATAACACATTTATAGTATGAAAGTGAAATGTCATTTTTGTCTGAGATCTGCGTCGAGTGGTATCAGTTGAAAGGTGATGGTTAGGCGTGGGTTTCAAAATCATAAACTATATGAGGGTGATGACAAAGTACAACATGACTCCACGGTACATAGTTTCTGCCTTGAAAGACAAAGATCTAGAAAATCTCACCGGTGTTACCCAAGTGTATAAAGGTAAAGCTACATACAATGCGAGTAAGAGAGGTACGTTGACGGAAATGCAAATGTTATTGACTCTTATTCATAGAGAATAATATGTGTTGGACAAGAAATAGGGAAAACTCAAATGTTGTTGCTGGACATATCGTGATTCAGTGAAGTTGTTGAATATGTTTCACTTGGTGTTGATTTTTTATTGTACATACAAGACAAATAGGTAATGTGCATCTTTATCATACATTGATATCATTTCGACATACTTTTATTTATCATATTGTTGATTATTTGAATTATAATCATACAGATACCGGTTACCACTGCTTGAGATTGTTGACGTTAAAAAAAGGTTTTTTTGCTACTTGGTCTAACAGAGTCACTCATTTAGAGAACACAACAACGAGCAGGTACATAGACTTATTTTCGATGTTATTACTGAGCATGATTTACCATGTTGCCTCATTATGGTTTAATATTGTGATTTAGGGGGGAGTCTACTCATTCGAGACAAAAAAAATATGTTGACTGCAATTCGGGGAGATTTATATCGAAGTTGGGATGTTGTTAATACAATATTGAAGTTGCAGCTAGATTCAATCAAGGTGTCGTTTCAAAAAAGTATTGTCAACATTGAGCATCGGTATAACACTCTATTCTATACCAAGTTGCACGGTTTTGTTTCAAGGCAATGTATACAGCACATAGTGAAGGAGTTAGAAATGATAAAATTTGTTGGTACAAGCATAAATGCTTGTAGTTACTTCATCGAAACTACACATTGGTTACCTTGTACGTGTCAACTTGCTGGTTTTCAAATACAAGACTTGTTTGTTCCTTTAGAACCAAATCATGTTTTTTTGGAAGAAATTACATATTGAAGGACATGCTAACGGTCATGACGATAGTGGCACAAAGCTGAATTTAGAAGTAGAGTGTGAAGAGTTGAAGACATATTTCAATTCTTTGGATATAGTAGGCTAGAGGGTGTTGAAGAAAAAGATTCGGGAACTATCACATCAATCCACAACTTCTATGTGTCCACCGTCGGTCAAGTACAAGTCAAAGAGTGGAGTTAAAAAAAGCAGAAAAGGTGAAGAGAGTGATGTGCATCGTGATCCATCACAATGGGAGTATGGTGAGGGTTTGTATAGGAGTCAGGCTACAAAGAGATAATGCATGAATCCAACAGGAAGTCAACCTTCAAGTATGTTGGGTCAAAGTCAACTGACCACTGCATTTTTTAGGCATCTTTACTTGTCTCAGTTTCATAGTTTCTTGCATCCATACATTGATGACATTGTGCATGTGAGTGACGATGAAAATTGTGGTTTTCGCGCTATTGCAACTTTACTTGGATGGAGCAAAGAGTCATGGTCGTTGATCCGGACGCAGTTAGATACTCAAGTTCATCAACACCTTAACTTATTTTTCAATTTGTTTTATGACATGGTCTCTGAAGTTGGGAATTCCTTAAAAGTAGAACACTTGGGTGTGTAAGGTCGAAAAAAATAGATGACGATTCCTGATATAGGTTATCCTATTACATGTAGGTACAATGTTGTATTTGTCTCCTTGTCATATAGACTTAACATTACATTTTTTTTCGCTTACCATAGCTCCACCTATGTACACGAGCCGACATAACATCATTGTTGTCGGTTTTGTCAACAATCATGGGATTCAGGTAAAGATGAAATCTAATAGTTTATTGTCTCCTGTCACTGACCGTTGAAAACAAAATTGTACTGAAGATGTAAAAGTATGGGAATCAGCATATGCAAGACGGATTAGGCACTGAGAGGGTGAAGTTAGGAAGTCATCCTAATTTGCTATATAATCTTGTGAACAATATGTATATATTATGCGATGAAGTTTTTATGGAACCATTTATGCAAACCGCTGTGTCAAAAATTTGAAATTAATTTTTTTTAGAAAAATATGGGTGCATATCGAAAATTTTGAATTTCTAAAATTTTCAATAATTTGGAATAGTTTACATAAATTTCATATTTCCAGTATATCTCACTCGAAAATTTTAAAATTTTCGGTATTATACACCGGAAATTTCAAAAATTCCGGTATGTCTCACATGATATATAAAACACTAATTTTTTTCAAATTTTCAATATAATTCTATTAATTTCATAATTTCCACATTATAACATGTACAATTTTATTCATTCTTATAAAATTACACTTCTTTTTCTTTAACTTTGCTGACTTAAACGTTGGAGTATTAAATTTATAAAAACATCCCACTCCACCACACCAGAGATCCACACCGCCGTACCAAACAACTTAATGTCAGCACTCTTCTGTTCCACACCAAAAACACTTCCCAACTCTACATAGCCTCTGATTCCATACCTTCCTGTGTATGTGGCATCTTTGAAGCCGAACCACTTTGCAACCAGAGTTAATTTCATCACACCCTATCAATAACTTTTAAATTGCAAACCCTTAATTTTTCAGTTAAAGAATACAAATTTAAGTTCATAATAGAAGTTTCTTTTTTCTTCTTTATATATGAACCAAAAGATCTTATATATTTATTTTATTTAGTATGTCACACATTGTTTACTCTGATCTTGATGATTGTTGCATCAACAAAAATGTAGTATCTTAGTGAAGCCAGATTCCTGAACAGCAGCCACCTTTGACAAGTACTTAATGGTTCCAATTGGCAGCTTATTGGCAAGGGCTTCCAAAATAACTTCCTTCAAACACAATCAAGTTCACTTCATGAATAGCAAAAACCATTCATCATAACAAGATTTTCATATCAAATTTAAGAAGATAGTCTTCAAAGAATTTTGAGCAAATGTAATTGGCATCAGAAGATGATGTAATTAATGTTACTAGCATTCATAAAACTTGTACCAACCAATAACGTTACAAGCTACAACAGTAAAATTGTAACAAGATGCTTAAAATCAAACCGATATTCCCCCAAAACAGGTTAAGTATAGCAACTGCAAGTGTATATAACATAACTTTGTTTAAAACCTTTCTCAAATATTTCTCAGAATGCCAATTTCTGCTGCAAGATTCCCCATCAATCCACTACTTCATAATGGATCTCCAATATTTTACTTGCTGTCCGGGAATCTATCCTCATATGACTGGGGCACCTGCCATCATATACAGGATTTAATGACTTCGGGGTAAAGAAAGACGCTCATCAATGGTCAATATCGAGAAAATCAAATAAAGAGAAATAAAGCCAATCAATGTACCATAAAGCTTGCAGTGATCATCTTTCCAGCAAACCATCTTCCATGTAAGGCCCGCTGTGCACCTGTAGAAGATTGGGTATCTTCAAATCGTAAGTAGACATACCCAGCACTCTTCCTGCGCATAGAAACAATAACTAAGTGAAAATTTCACGATCTTAGTCTCGTAGGAACATAATAGTTACAAATTAACTCACTTATCAACGTATATATGTTTTAAGTTTCCAAACTTAGAGCATTCTGCTTCTACATCTTCTTTAACATCCAAATCAAAGTCTGGTTCCTTCTGCAGCACACAATATCAATAATATCATTCAACACAGCAAAAGTAAGACAAATTTTTTTTTATAGGAGAGCAATTTAACTACCTCATTTTCTGGATCAAACATATTCTTTAGCAATAAGCATTCACTTGGAACTCCAATTGTATCAATAGAAGGACTTGTGAGCATTGGAATTTGAAGACCTCCACCTGGTAGTCCAGCTACTGGCGGTATGTTTCCCGTTGCGTGTAAATTAAGGCCTGTATTGTTGACAACGGAACTGCCCAGAAAACCAACCATACTGCCAAAAAAAAAGGCACAGAAGGTTAGATTATACACTGATCTCAAAAGATGAAAACCAAAATGGCAGGGGAGAAAACCTTGATGCAGTGCCACTGTGATCCAACCTCTGCATGAGTAATGCTCGGGACGAGGCATTCAAGGACTGAAAATTAAAGAATGGTCAGCTATAACACTGGTTTGTATGCAAAAAATTCAAACTAATTTATGAAGGGCAACAGAGTGCTATGGAGCTCTCACTATCACCGGGTCCGAGTAAGAGTTGGATCCATTGTTTAAATATAAATTAACTAGAGTTGGATCCATTGTTTAAATATAAATTAACTAGAGTTGAAGTTGAATATAAATTTAACTAACTTCAGTTCAAATTAATTAACATATGAAAAAATATTAATGTACTAATTTTCAGAAACATGCATACAGGTGAAGCAAACAAAGAGAAATGCTCAGTGATTTGTTGAATCTCTAGTGTCAGTCTTGACAAGTATAGCATACTGAGACTAGGCTAACATTTAGAGCATGAGTATCTCTACTAAATTTGATAAAAAAATTAAGAGGTCAAAAACAATTTCCGTGAGACATATATTACTCACCAAGCCACCACCTTCATCATCATCAATATCACCAGTATTTCCACCGAATTCTTGCATTCCAGACTGATCTGTAACAGCTGATACCTAAGAAGAAAAATGTGCAACTGGTCATCCAATTTAGATCCTTTGGTTTACAGAAAAAAATGTCAGCAACAAATCCACTTGCTAGGAACAAGTTCAAGCCAAAATCAAAAGCACTTATAGATGTATAACCCTTAAGATCATGTATTTAACAGTTCTAGTAAAATCTATGTTGCTGTTTGTTAGCAGGGCCTCAATTAAATTTCTGCATCTCATTAGAAACAAAGAGGGGTTGTGGAGAATCAGCAGTCCACGAGTCATGCTGACAATTTAAGAAGGGTAATCCAAACCACCAGTACACATGTTAGACAGAGGAGAGAAGCTGGTCCTCCTTTCAAAAAGGGGATATTTCATTCTTGTGTATTTTCCATTCTTTATTATGCAAGGAGCATTACTCCGTTCTATTCATTGTTATTTTTCAATTATTTTAGTTTCCTGGGATTATACCATAATCCAAGAATGTCCTCTGGTTGATAGTTTATTTACCAAAAGGCGCCAATATTTTCTTCTATTATGCACACAATCCTATCATATTGAGATCACACTAATATATGTGACAGATCCATAGTAATAATACTACATTTCTTAATTTTCCAGTTCCAAACCTAACACTATTCTAGCACAACCAATACTTATTCTTGCTTAACATAACTTTAAATAGGTAAAAAATCAAGAATATCAATTTTTTTTACAAACATACCCCTAATTATTTTACCTTTTTTCTGCAAACAATAATAAATACTATAACATAAACTTATTCTCTATCTTGAAGGTTAAACATATACAAATAATATCAATTCTTAACAAATTTAATATAAATCCAAGCTTTCTTAATTTCCGTTATTTAAACAATGGGATCGTATATCATCAAGAATCCTGATGGTAGAGTAAATCCAGCAACACGACAACGATGATTAGAAATTGCACTTAATTGGTTATACAAAATCTATAATCCAGTTAGATCTACCACAAAATCAAGATACAAATTAAACTGGCCATAAGCGATTTATTCGCTCTCACATTTAAGTAATTAAAATTTTATAAGTTTTATTTAATAGGAACTTATATTTAGCAAATTGAGTTTAATATTAGTAAAAGAAGGCCAACTAAGCTCAAATTTATGAGCAAATCAACAGTACCTTGATTGTCCTGCCACCAATCTCCAATTGGCTATTCAAGCTCTGAGCATTTTTTGCATCTTCTAGGCGGGCAAACTACAGTAAGTAATAGATACAATTAACTTTACACTGCCAAAAACAAATGCAGTGAGCATATCATACATAGAACAGTTTATTATTAGAATAGCATCATAGCCGAGTAGCAACCACAACTTCATCCATGAGTAAAAAATTACAAACATAGTGAAATATTCGAGCTGAATTCTTTACATACTTGATAAAGCTCATATGTTCAGCAAAAAAATCATGTTCAAACTCCCAAGGTAGACTCAATTTTATTTTAAATGATCCAAGTTAAACTTTTGTAGGCATGATGACGTCCATAGCTCTCAAATAGCTGGTGTATGTGTGCATTAGAGAGCTGCAATGTTATTTATTACATCTACCAATAAGTATTATACAAACTAAACTATCCAAGCTTAGGCCTTGTATTCTAAAACAAGCTATGCTCAATATTTAAATTCGGTGCGTCCAAGTAAACCTAAAGTGTTTGGCTTGGCTGGACTCGTCAAAACCCCAACATTTGGCTGGAGTTGAATTTGGCTTGGTCCAAATCCAAGCTCTCCCTCAGTTTAATTCATTAAAAGCAGCTTCCGCAAAAGATATGAGCAGCTGATCAATTAAAGGATATTTAATAATAAAATAAAAAGTTGACAAGTTAACTTGGTCAAAAAACTAACTATAAGATTCACCTGCACAAAGCCAAAACCTTTGCAATGCCCAATTTCATCAAGAGGCAGCTGAACTAGCTCAACTTGACCAAATGCTTCAAAGACCTAAACAATTTCATGTGAAAAAAATAAAATAAAATAAAAGCAACCAATTGGAAGCAAATATGTTGATGAAAAATACCATCATTCTCGACTTTTAAATAATTTTTAAAAAGTAGCATTATTAAAAAGAGGTACAAACAAAAAAAGGAGGATAAAACCAGGAATGTGTCTCATTCTACTCTCAACAATGCATCATATTATAAGGATCCCTTTCAGTCTACCAGCTCTAGAGAATCAATCATAAAATGCACCAGAAAATTATCCAAGGAAAAAATAAACCAGATGTGCTTACCCTATGAAGATCAGCTTCAGTAATACTGGAATGCAGATTGCCAACATATAGCCTTCTTGCACCCCCAGAATAAGGACCCAAATTTCCAGAAGGTCCATTGGCAACAGATGCTGTAGATTGAACCAAATTCTTTTCTGCTTCTGATGGCTTCACCATCACTGGTTGACGAAGAATTGGTTGACCTGAGAGTGCTATTGCCATGGGAACAGACATAGAATCGTAAAACTCAATATACCTGCAAATGTGAAGGCAGAAAAAAACAGTACAAACATCAGGACCATTAGTTAATTTATTAAACAGAAAACATTTCATAAATGAAATTGTGATGTCAATTTGATGGTTCAAAATGAGACTTTTAAGTTAATAGCATTAATAGGCACTGGTGCATGTATTAACTGTATTCAAGAATAAAATGACTCAGTAGTGCATGTAGACCTTACATGATGATACAATGAAAATTGATAAATGCAAGAAATATAACCTCTGTTGGGTAAGAAACATGACTGAACAAGTAATTCTAGGATCTTCAGTCCTAATATTATTATTTTCCTTTATTACAACAACCACCACCAAGCCTTACCCCACTAAGTGGAGTGGCCTACATGGATCAAACGACGCCAAGAAGAGAAAATTAAATCCTCACATATTAAATATAAAATCATTACTTAAGGAAAATAATATATAAAGTAACACTGATGTATGTAAAAAACTTTGGTGAACAAAATATCCCAACAAAAACTACATTGAATTGAATGAACCAGCAATTTTTTAATACTGAAATATGAGGATTTTTTTTGCATACATTTAGATAAGGAATAATATAATGCAGTTAGTCTCCATGGAGGAGTTGTACTATATTTGAAGTTATGAAATTAGAAAAAGAAACACAAGATTACTAATAATAAACCTTTAATTAAAGTATTAAAATGAATTAGATATTTGTTCCCAGTAAGTCATATTCAATTAACACTTGATGTGCTAGCTCAGCGATAAGAGCTTAAGCCTAGTAACTTCAAGATCCTACTTCTAATCCCCTCAAGGACAGTTGGAAAATGGTCATTAGTGCTACTATAATTAATAAAAATTAACCCTTCCATAATTTTCTAAAATAAATAAAATTAAAAGTTACATGATATCAAAATGTTTTCAAAACTAGACATTGAATCTCGTTATCTGATGCTTACCCAACACCTTTAGAACGTCTTGAATTGCGGTCCATAATCAAACGAACATCTCGCACCTGGAAACAGTAGACCAGAGATGTAAAAAAAAAGGTTAAAGAACAAATGGCTTTTTCAATGACAAGAAAGGGTGCAAAAGTAAAAACTCGGCGATTGGGATATTATGATGACCATATTATTCCACTTTCAATTGATGTTTTCCAAACAAGAGGTACCAAGGGCTGACTGATGTGTGAAACTCTTTACACTATAATGAATTAAAACTAAATTGAGTTTTTTTTGTGTTTTAAATTTTGAGTTGGTGACAAAACTGGATTTCCTTCCAATGTTTTACTTGATAATAACAAAAATGCATTCCATGCCTTTCAAACCATATATTTCAAAGGTCAAAAGGAAACAGAGTGTTTTCCGCTAATAACATACAACTTCCTTTTCATTTATTATATTCCAAGATAAATGCAAACTACAGTAGCAAAATAATTCAATTTTGATGCTAGCTAAAAAAGGAAATGGAAGTATGAAATATTGAACCTTCCCAGCCCTTGAGAAGAACTCATAAACATCTCTTTCATCCGCTTTAAGAGATATCTGTGAAAATGCTTTCAAAATTAGATCTGGCAGTAAATTTATGAACAAAACAGATCATGTTATTGCATTCCGTAGTAGGAATACCTGATAAGCAAACACAGTTCTTTGATCTCTTTCAGGGTCAGTCTCAGGTTCAGCTGCATCTTCCTTTTTCTCTTTATGCCGTCTGCAATATACAAAACACAATTACAGTCCAAGTTGTAGGAATACAATCGAAATTGTCGATACAGTTCAAGTTTGAAAATAATAATAAAATATTTATGTAACAAATTATTGTATAAAATATTTATGTAAAAATTATTGTATAAACCATAGCTTCCCAACACAAATTTTCAGATTTTTTAAATATGCAACATATAAGCAAATTGTCTTTATATATCTATAATAAAGCCCAGTTTCACTGGACAGAGGCCTGCAGGGAACTAGGGTACGTTAACAAGAAATCCCCAGGTAACATAGTTTTGAATTGACGTCTTAGCTTCTTGAATTTAAAAGAACCAAACCTGGAGATAGTGGTAAATAGTAATTAAAGGGAGTGAATGTCTTCCAATTGCTATTAACACAAGATTTTGTACCTTTTATCAATAAAACTAAAAAGTTATATTGGAATAGCACCTCCAACTTGGATGGATGACAATTCAAGAGGTTGAGGGACCTAATAGCATTAAGTTGAAACCTGTTAAAACTTAAACTTTTATATATACTGACTAAGAGAAAACACAAGCATAAAGAAAAAAATCAATTCCATATATGAAAATAGTTCTATATAAGATGTCTCCAATGACATAATTGAATATGTTGTAAGAATCAGCAGCAACAGGACAGCATGAAACATCAAAAAAGAAAAAACATGTCTTGCAGTAGATAAATCTCTAAAATCCAAGATTGTCAAGATCAAAGGCTTTGTTTATCACATCAATGATGTCTAGGTGCAAAAGATGCAATCAGGAAAAAAGTAGTAATGTTCAGCACCCGGGGCTAGCCATGAACAAAAGACATATAAGGACTTCTTTAGTTGCAAAAGTCATTCTCTCAAAAAAGAACTTATGAACTAATTGTGTAAAAGTGAGAAAGAACGCTAATTGGAGAACCTTCTAAACTCTACTCTAGTATCTCATAATTAATCAAAACAAACACCAATCTATTACATGCATAAACAGAAACTGCAACCAATATGTAGCCAAATGAACATTGTTTTTGCCCACAGGCATCAGAAGATGAATTGATTCTCTTAAGCATAGTCCATTACTCCCTCACCAGCATTTCTGCAACAGAACAAATGCAATTAAGCAACTAAGTTCAAAGGGGGAGGATAACAAATAACATGGTATCACACTGCTACAGCAAACATTCAAACTGCCCCCGCCCCAAAATATTGTGATGCATGCATTCAGATCAGATGCACTCTGGAAGGGAGAAATTTTGAAACCCATGATCTATAGTTCCAAGGCCTGTCCCAAATGCCAGAAAGACCAGCGGATGCTCACTCTACCATATCTGCGAGTTCCCAGAATCTAATGGTCAATATTCCGAAGCTTTAAGAATGTTGAACAGCATAACTAATACACAACTCAGGAACAGGTATTAGCCACCTATCAGTGACTCTAACAGTACAGATGAAATGCAAGAGAAGTGATTGTTTACAACCCAGCGTTGTTGATGGCGGATGGTGGTCTATGGCGGAGAGCCAATATCCCACCATACTGGCCGCTTTGCGGCACCATTATAGCGGATTATGGCAGAAAAAACTGCAATACCGGCCGATATTTACCATTGTGGCAAGCCCAAAAACCACCATGTATATCCGCCATAGCAGCCATGGCACCGCAATTTGATAACATTGTTACAAACAAGGACATAATTCATGAACATAAGTCCAAATAATGATTAGCAGCAGATCAGGAAGGACAAAACATCAATGCCATCTATAAAAAATGATGAGTGGGTGGTTAAACTCTACTTCCAAAGAGGATAACACATTTACAATTATCTACGCTTGGCAAAACTAAAAGTGAATATATCTGCATTTGCATCACCAGTACCACCTTAAAATGCATAAACCGGGTTCTAAAAGGGTTCAGAATCAGATCAAATGCCACCTAACTACCAAGGTCCAAGTGGCCAACAATCCATCCTTTAAAATTCATTAAATTAAATACAATAAATGACTTCAAAGTAGACAACAATTCGTGACTTAGAATTCCCATGAATAAATACAATAGCAAAACATTGGCTTAAACTTAAAGAAGGAAAAATAAATAAAAAATCTGAAAACAGTCTCCTTCGACATAAGCATGACCTTTAGGGTATCCTGCAATCAATCTGATGACCAAACTACAATGTTAACTTAACCAGAACTATAGCATTGACAAAGATGGTGGCTGAAGGTGAATGTAGAATTTAGATTTATCCACTAGCAAAAAGTCTGATAAAAGAACGAAGGAAGTAATTAAATAATAAAGGATTGATCAACAAGCAATTAGACCTGAAAATATAGATAGGGCCCAGATATATACTCCCAAAGATAAATATCATTCTGACTAGAGAGTAGAAACATTGATAAATTTCAAGTCCACAAGGCCCGCAACTTGCACTGTAACTGTAAGACTATGACAATAGGGACAAAATTCTAGATCACTTGGTCAACTAGGTTCTAATCTTATATTGGTTCAACTCTCTACCAAAAAGCTTAAGCTATTAAAGAAATGCTCCGGGCATGTGTCTTAGACAACTGTGCTTCACGATGAACTTGGTTAGGTCATAACTAGAAAGTATTAGGAAATTTGATTTATTATAAACAGAAGAATATGTTATGGATAAATAAACAAATGTTTTTGAGTAAATAGCTTTTCTCTATCTTTTCTACATCCAATTCAATGCTCAGCTAAATCACAAGACTATCACCGCCAACCATAGTTATTTTCGTATAATCTACACAGCCGCTAAAATGATAAAAAAAATTTAAATGAGAAATAATACCTGTTTTCTAACTTTTCTCTATCTGGTTCCTTCGAGACCCTTCCCATTCCTCTGTCTCTGTAATCCTTTGTGTCCCTTTTCATTCCTCTATCACGACTTGTTTCTCGGGTTCTCTTATCCACATCACCTCGATTCCTTTCCGATATACTTTTGCTTCTCCGAGAGTGTTCTCTCTCTCTTTCACCCTCACTCCCTCGACTCCTTCTCTCTCTTTCAACCTCCTGGTCTCTGTCTCTCTCCCTTCTATACTTGCTCTCACTCTCTCTCTCCCTATCTCTCTTCCTATCCCCATTACCCTGAGAGCTTCTCCGCTGATCGTTCTCCTTGTCTCCATCTCTAGACCCTGAACGACGCCGAGACGAGCCTCTCTCTTTCTGCCTATCATAACCACGAGAACCATCTCCCGATTTTAAATGCTTGAAACGATTATCAACATCATCATCATCATTATCCTTCTCACTATCCTTATGCTTGGAGCTTCTACTACGAACTCTATCATCAGATTTCAAATTCTTTTCCCCACCATTAGAAATTAGGTTCTTGTTCTTAAGCTCAGAATTATCAACTGTTTTCTCTAAATATTCGTACTCATCAAATTCCATCATAACTCAATTGAACAGTGAAATCCCCCAAATTAACTGCAAATTCGGCACAATCAACAATCACTGTTTTAGGGTTTCAGAAGATATTCATGATAAATTTGTTTTTTAATAATCTAGTATTCAGAAAATGATAATCATTTGTAAGCTCTAAGAGACTGTAACGTAATTTTGAATTTCGTTACTTGAATTAGCATGAAAAAATAAGTGAAATAGATGAAAACCTTGTTGAGCGAGCAAAAGAGACGTTAGGGTTTGTGCGGTTGAATCTGAAAATGAAGTGACCTTCAAACACAGCAGAGTATAAGAGAGCAATGAAGGACCGTGTTATACTTACGTTACCCTTATTTTGGAACTGAAAGTTTTTATTTTTAGTTAGTTAACTAAATTTATTAAAATATTATATTTCTATTTTTGGTACAAAATTCAAATTATTTGCCCAATAATCCCCATTTTCAATTTTATTTTCAAACTAACCTAGGGTTCAAATAAATTTTTAATCTATCCTAGTTTCAAACAAAACAAAAAATTAAAACGCAGAGTCAGCGCTAGAAAAATTGGAGCGTTCACTGTAAAATTAAATGGGAGTGCTAATTGAATTGATGACTTTATATGGTCTAATCAATCTAATTGACAATATTGATATGTGATTTAAGTGGTGGTAGTTGAATTAACACCTATGTGCATTCTAAAGGGTGGCGCCATCTCAACTAGCAATAATATGTTGGATGCTTTTATTTTACTATAAATAAAAATGTTTTTTAATATCCACTCCACACCACACATCTTCTTAACTTCAATAGTTATATCATGATTGTTAGAAGAAATGGATATGTGTTTCATTCAATAACAAAATCTTCGATGAAAATGTTTTTTGGAACATTCAAACTTTTGAACATCTTGAAACAAGTTTGAATCATTTGTTAGACGGAGAAATTGCAAATGGAGAAAGAATTAAAAGTATTTAGATATAACAAGTTTGATTCTACAACTATCCTTAAACTTTGATGATAACAAAGTGTAGAGAATAATTTTGTACTCTGATTATTTTTGTTAAATGCACAGATAAAAGAAAATAGATTTAAACTCTGAAAAAGTCAAATCTGAACACAAACAAAATTTGAAAAAAAAACTAAAAGCATATTAAAAATATAAGACAGACTCTGAATAAAAGAAAGAATACAAAAGTGTGTTTAAAGCAAAGACAAAGTTTATGAAGGATTATTTCTCACAAAATGTTAGTTCTTGATTGACATGTATTTTGGTAAAACTAAAAGGAATCACAAGATGTCCTACAGGATGTCGTGACATTTGTAGTCAGATATTAGCAGGTTGTTTTTTATGTTGTGTAAGAGGTTTTCTCATGATGTCAAACAAGGTGTCTTGACATTCATGATCTAAACATCCTGTATGAATGTTTGTGTGAGCATATCTTTTTGTACAAGCTGGTTGCACCTGTCTGATGTGGAAACAACGTGTTTCTAGTGTGTTAATGCAGGCGTTTCTGATGCACTTTCTGTGGATCATATTGGATTTGATTTGGATTTAATATCAGGAGATCATTTGCAGATTTAAAGATTGATATGATTAGATTTGATTAGCCAAATCAAATCTGATTGATTGCTGCTGTTTATGAATATTGTTGCTGTTACTTTTGGCATAGCCCAAGCCCATTCTACACTACTATTTATAGAGGCTGAAACCCTAGCTTGAAGATCAGAGAAGCAAAGATTAAAAACCGTGTGTATCTAATTAGAGTTTAGGCTTCTTGTGGGTTAGTTTTTATGTGTCATTCACTCATTGCTTAATGTGTGAATTGGACTAGGTTGTTAATTGTAATTTGTTAATTGTTCACTCAAAGCTTTTAAGCAATAGTGTATTGTACTTGATTGAAGCTTTTAAGCAAGATCAAGTTGTGACTTTGAAGTGTGTCTTCTAAAGTCTTCTTTTTGTATTGAAAGTTATCACTGTTGTGATTGAGGGGGAGTGAAAGATGTCTCTCGTCTAGTGGGTTCTATGCAGAAATTGCATTGGGTAGAGATTAAGTGAGGAGTTGTAAACTGAGAGTTTAGCTCTAAATTAATTTTGCTGATATTGAACTTCCTCCCTGGCTTGGTAGCCCCCAGATGTAGGTGTGTTTCACTGAACTGGGTTAACAATTACTGTGTCTCTTTTAATTGTTATTCGTTTAGCTGTGTTCTTTGTTCTTGACAAACAGATATTTGTGTCGTGAACATCTCCTTCGACATCTAATATTTGATGCCAGAATTTCACAAATAACTTATGATTAACGAAAGTGGAGTTGAATATGGATTTTATGAGGTTAAGATGACTACTTATTTGTCAAACAAATTTATCACCTAGTAAATCGCATGAAGAAGTTAGTGGTCCACTCTTTGTTTTTTGTCATGTCTAATGGTTCCTCCAATTAATTTCCATTAACTAAAGATGATGTGGCACACCATATGCCAAATTTCTTGTGACTGAACTCATATATGGCATGTCATGTGGTAACTTTGACCATTTAATATTAATTAAATATATAAAGATAGTTGTGATATGTTGGATTGAACTCTAGTATGGTCGAAGTCTGTTCGCGACTAATGCGTGTTGTAGTCAAAGTCTGTTCTAACATGCATTAGTCAATATTGCTAGGGTTGTTAGCATGTTGAATTGGGCCTTGCTTGTAAACCTAATTGTTTAAGTTAACTTGTACCCTAAGTTAGCTTGTAATGGATAATTGTTAAAAAGCCCATTAGGTTAGTGTGCTATTTTTCTTATAAATAAGATGTTAGTTTCTCAATCTTGAGACAAGGAAAAATAGGAAGATAAAATCCTAATTTCAAGAGAGAAAGGTTATTTTGTTATTCTTGTATACTTGTAATCTTGTTATAAGAGAAAGGAAAGAATAACAGTTTAATAACCAACCCTTGTTGTTTTCTTCCTTATTAACCCTAACCCCTGTATGTTTCTTGATCATTATTGTTTATACTTAGTTTTAAGGTATCCCATTCACAATAAATTGGTGCAGTGAGCATGGAGAAGATGTCTTCAACAAAGTATGCGATTGAAAAGTTCACCGGAGTGAACGACTTCGGTCTGTGGCGCTTAAAGATGAAAGCTCTACTGGTTCAGCAGGGTTGTTTAGAAGCGTTAAAGGATGAGGCAGCCATGGACGTTGCGTTAACGGCAAAAGAAAAGACGAGCATAATCAAGAAAGCCTATAGCGCAATATTGTTGAGCCTTGGTGATAAGGTTCTTCGACAGGTATCAAAGGAGACTACAGCATCGGGATTATGGGTGAAACTTGAAAGTTTGTACATGACCAAATTTCTGGCCAATCGACTCTACCTGAAGCAAGCATTATATTCATTCAAGATGAGTGAAGACAAAGTGTTGGCTGAGCAGTTGGATATGTTCAACAAGCTGATTCTTGATCTTGAAAATATTGATGTGAAGATCGATGATGAATATCAAGCACTGTTGCTGCTGTGTGCTTTGCCCAGAACACATGCTCACTTCAAAGAAACTCTCTTGTATGGAAGGGAGTCCCTGACCTTTGAAAAAGTTCAATCAGACTTGTATTCTAAGGACATGAACAAACGAAAAGAGCATAAACCTTCGACGGTGGGCGAAGGTTTGGCCGTTAAGGGAAAATTCTTGTGAAAGGATGGTAAGTTCGACAAGAAGAAAGGTAAAAGCCAACGTAAGTCTTATAGTGGCGAAACATCTGATATTTGGTGTTATCACTGTAAGAAGGAGGGTCACATAACAAATGTGTGCCCTGAACGCCTGAAAGATCATGGAGGTAATGGCAACGCAACCATCGTTCAAGGTGACTTTGACTCATCTGATGTTCTTGTGGTTTCAAGTAGCGACTCGAGAAAAGAGTGGATTATGGATTCAGGTTGCACTTGGCACATGACTCTAAACAGAGAATTGTTCGAGGAGCTATGTGATCAAGATGGTGGATCTGTGCTGCTGAGAAACAACAAATCTTGCAAAATTGCAGGTATTGGATTTGTGAGACTCAAGCTCCATGATGAGTCAATAAGGTTATTGACTGAAGTTAGGTATGCACCTGACTTGAAGAGAAATTTGATTTCCCTTGGTGAATTCGACAGAAAGGGATATGTTTTTCAAGGAGAGAAAAGTACCCTAAGAGTCATGAAGGGGTCGAAGGAAGTCTTGAGAGGCGTGAAGAAACAATGCTTATATACCCTTGAGGATGAGGTTGTAAGTGGTTCGACAAATGTTGCATCCATGAAACCTATTTCGAAGACAGAATTATGGCACATGAGATTGGGCCATGTCAGCGAAAAAAGCCTGGTCGAATTGGGGAAGCAAAACTTGCTAGGAGGTGACAAAGTCAAAAAATTGGAGTATTTGGTAAATCTTGTAGGGAAAAGTTTAACAAAGGCAAGCAAAGAACACGTGGGTCCCTGGATTACATTCATGCTGATCTTTGGGGGCCTGCAAGGAATCCTTCCTACTCAGGTGCAAGGTATTTTCTATCAATCGTTGATGACTATTCCAGAAAACTATGGGTATTCATTCAGAAGAAGAAGGATGAAACTTTTGAGAATTTCAAAAGTTGGAAGATTTTGGTCGAAACTCAAACTGGCAGAAAGTTTAAGAGGTTGAGAATCGACAATGGCCTTGAATTCTGCAACGAAGCGTTCGATAGTTATTGTGTTGAGTCTGGAATTGCAAGGCATAAGACTGTAGCAGGTACTCTTTAACAAAATGGCTTAGCTGAGAGATTCAATCGAACAATCCTTGAAATGGTTAGATGCGTATTGGTTAGTGCTGGATTGAAGAAGGTGTTTTGGGCGGAAGCTGTTTCGACAACAACTTACTTGATAAATAGATGTCCCTCGACTGCCTTGGGAATGAAGACACCAGAAGAAGTTTGGTCAGGACATCCACCTAGTCTCGACAGACTGAGAGTATTTGGTTGTGTGGCCTATGCTCATATTAGGCAAGACAAGGTCGAACCTAAAGCT